TATATCCATCACGAGATTTGTATATGTTTTACTGTTTGTTATTTTGATACCCAAATGCTTTCCTCAAGTTTTCCGTTTTCATATTGCCACACATTTATACGAGAAAAATTTACTTCATTTGAATGTGAATGAGTCCACTGATCATTGATTGTCACTGAGAGCTTTTACGATTAAACGAGTGATCTGTTAACAACAGCAAAAAAAAGAAGAAGCGATTCACTTCGAAAATTATTAAATAAATTTGTTAGCAATAAATTATTTCTTTGCTCCTCTCGATATCTTTTCTGTTCGCACCAATGACATTGCAGTACATTGTTGGTCGGCGAAAGTGTATAGTTATTGATTTCGTCTATTTGTTTAACGATTATTCATGATATGTCGTTATCACCGTTGCTGTTATTATTTTCAGTTACTCTCCTATTTACTGATTCAACTCATAGGATATTTTTGATGTTACTGTGTTATGAATCAGTTCTCGAAAATCCAATCATCCATCAGTCAAATGTATTTTACTGATTATTGTGTTGTTTGCAGTGTATTTGTGTTATGCTCTCTTGTACTGATATACAGAAGCTATAAATTAATTTTTGGAGATCATCCGGTAGTGTTGAATAGTTATTGCGGATCTTCGTTATCACATTCTGTTTAGATTCGGTCACTTGGCGTGACTTTTTCATAGTTCGAAAATTGTTGCTATTATTTTGAATGCACGAGCGATCAATTGATTCACCGTGTTTTCGTTTACTATGTGTTGATGATTTGTTTTGCATCTAAAATCTTTTGATGTTTCATTGTCGAATGTATTTACAGTGGTTTGCAATTATCGTGAATAAAGTTTACGATTTTGATTGCTTGTTCTCGAATTTTCACATATTACAACAAAGTGATGATATGAGATGAACTCAGACGCACGTTCCATTTCCACTTTCTCAAGTCACCATTATCATTGTCAGGTAGCCGAGCGATTTTATGACACCATAATGGGAACTGATTTTCTTTTCTGTTCAGTGCTATTTTCGTATTGCGTTAATTCACATCAAAAATTCGATTTGGTCGACAAGAAAAAACAACGATTCCGGAACGATGAAACGTCATTGAGCGCATTTTTTTAGCTGAACATGAACAGATCATTGCAGTGCGCAAAAGGATAACGAAAAACTGCCATCGACTCAAATTTTTTTCACTCAAAANGTTCATGTGATAATTGAGTGATTCCTTGAGCTGGTAACATAACACACCGAATTAAAGCTCACAATCACACTGAACCAGAAGAAGAGCACGGTGCAATATTTGTGTGATACTGTCAAGAGTTCGTCGTAGCAGCAAATAAACTCGGCTATCTCCTTCAGCTGGTATCGTCCTCTTTTATGAACGATCCTTTAGTGTTAACAGCGCAAAGTAATCAGCAAAGAACAAGTTCATCAAGCACAACCCGTCTATCACAGCACTGCTCCTCGTATCAACCCGAACTGATCTTCGACCCATACACACTCCAATCGATCATTAATCAAATGATTGAAACACAATCCCTTCAAGCACATAATATGTCTTCTTTCTTATATGTACAGCACACTTCTTTTCGTCATATTATTCTCTTATCATCATCGTCACTCTTAGTATATATTCTTAAGGTCTTGATAATGATGATTACTATTACCGTTATCAACGTCATGTGTGCATATTCTTTTTCTAGCCATTAAACATGTTGCCGAGCGCTCGTCTGTCTTTTTTGCTCATATTTGTGTTTATGGTTACCATTCAAAGAGCATTCGATTGTTTGCATTCGACGCTCAGAATCACCAACCCACAAAGGGTTTCATTAACGGCAAATAAGCTAGACCATGATATCTGCTCCTTAATGTGAAGAATTTCGGTAAAAAGATACGAGTTTTGTTTTTCAGTAGTGCAGTTGACGATGAACGTATCGAAGCTTTCATCCAATCTCCTCGCATCGACAAAACTGCTCGCATCCGTAAAGCCAGTCAACTCTGCAACTGCTTCAGCTGCTCTACGTTCCTACTCAAGCGCTAATGGCGATGGACCGGTTTTTACAGAACGGCTGAGTGGAGAACATGAAGGTAGTTGATTATTCATTTGAACTGTCTGTGAATTTCAATCGAACTGTGAACGCAGCTTCATTTATTCTCAAATAATGTTCATGTGATCTATGGAGTGACTGATTCAACCAGATCAGTAATTCATATTCAATAATATCTAGCTTGAACATATTATTGATAATGAATTGAAAGATAAGGTGTTCATTTTGGAGTGAGATGTATTTGAGGAAGATGTATTTGAGATCGAGATGAAAAGCTTATTTTGGCTTCACGTACAAAGCAGAATGACTATCGAAGATGAGGAGATGCCCAACTTATTAGGATTTAATTTAAGGAATCGTGCTTCTGCGTATGGCAGATAAAACAAAGAAGAACGCAATTGATAAACGTTTATTGGATTGTGTACGTTTTTCAAATCGCAAACATTTAAACCGTCATATCCAACGTAATATTCATTAAATTTGGTCAATGTTATCGAGATTGACATCAATTTATTGGTGATCGATTCCAGATCATGAAACAAATCAGCGATAACAATTCAAAGATTCCATAAAGAATGATTCAATTTCGTACTAGCATAATGTGCAAGCAGGCTTTGTTAAGACAATCATTCCAGCTATTTGTACAGAAGTATGATTGATGCATGTAGAAAAAATCATAAGAAGTAGCTGGGATTGCTGAAACTTCATCCGAATCGAGCATTACAGTTCCTCAGCCATGTCGACGCATTAAAGGCAGACAAGGATTCCCGGGTTGTGATCGTTAAAAGTGATGTTCCAGGAACGTTTTGTGCCGGTTTGTCATTTGGATGTTGCAATAGATTCAAATCAGTTTGTTTGCTAGATATGTGGGTATACATACGGCCAAGAAATAAATGTTTCCTAAGATTGTTATTCAAATAATCGACTGAATCGAGAAGATCGAATTGTTGAAGAAGGGTATCGTAGAAGCTAAAACTATATCAGCTGGAATCAATAATGAAGTCAAACGCGATGCTTCATATTGCCTTATTGCCGAGATAAATATTCTCATTGAATTCGCTCGTTCTTTCTGTTTCTTAGTTCTTTTAATATTACATAAGAACGTTTAAACACATTTAAATGACCTAATATCATCTCGTTGCTATAAGACAGAGCCGTAAAGAGAAATGGGAGTAAACAAGTGTATGACCACAAACCAAATGTGCAAAACAGATTCTTGAGGCATCACAGTAACGAGGCCGAGGACAGTATTATAAACAGTAGTAAGGAACGGTGAATGCTGATAATAATAACTGCTACAAGTTGCTACATACTTTCAGGTGCTGATTTGAAAGAACGTGCAAAAATGGCTGATGAGGATGTGTTGCCATTTGTTGATAAGATCCGTGCACTTACAACCAACTTGGCTGATTTACCTGTACCCGTGATAGCATCTATCAATGGCTGGGCACTTGGTGGTGGTCTTGAAATCGCTTTAGGAGCAGATATACGCGTTTCGAGTTGGTTTTTGTGAATGATCTAGTGGTTCGATCGTGTCACTCTCAAGCTATGCACACCTCTAAATTCCATTAAGCACACTCCTTACTGTATCACCCATGTTTTGCTTTT